CAAAATCCACCATATGTCTTACCCTCTGATAGAGGTGTACGTCATGAAATTGACATAGTTTCAGCAACTAAATACTGTGTAACACGGCAGTGGCCTTTGCCTGAAGAACAGTGTGACGTCATTGAAGAAGTCTTTTGTGCTATTACACGGATGGAATGGTTCGTGAGAGTAGATCTCTTCATTTAACACGGACATTTGTGTCAAGGAGCCAAACGGAAAGTGGCGCATTGTGCATGATTGTAATGAGCTTTATGCAGCAACTATACTAGCGCAGTCGCCCATTCCTGGAAAGTATGTTTTCAGAACAATATGGTAGGTTGTACATTTTACAGTGCAATCGACTTGGTCTATGGTGTTTACCAGCTGCTCATGCAAGCGAGTGATATTCCGCTTACAGCGCTGAGTACTCCAAGCGGTTTTCTCTGTGAGTGGCTGTTTATGCCACAAGGGCTGTCGAACGCCCCGGCAACATTTAACTGTCTTGTGACGCAACTGTTTAGATCTTATAGGAATTATGCGCGGACGTACTTTGACGATTTCTTTGTCCGTAGTCGTGCAACGAAGGTCGATCAGGCGTGAATAATCACATAGATCATTTACGAGCGGTGATCAAGTGCATGCGCAAGGATAGATTGTACGACAAATCGTCTTAAGTGCATCTTTAGTGCAGAAGATATTCCTTTTCTATGGTGATTCGTTGGAAAGCGAGGCCTCCGAGTGGACCCCACTAAGGTAAAAGCCATGCTCGATTGACCGATTTCTAAGAACCAATAGGACTTATGTAAGTGGCCTGGCCTTGACAATTACTTGCATAATTTATGGTGCAAATGACGCAGACATGGCTAGGCCATAATTTATCCCTTGAAAAAGGATTTGGATTGGTGCTGGGGTCATACCGAGCATGATGCTGATAAAGCGATTAAGGAGAGTCTCCTATATGCGTCAATATTGTCTTTGCCTGATCCTGATCGGCCCTTCAATGTCGTTTGTGGCGCATCTAAATTTTCCATTGGCAGCGCTCTGTTACAAACATATGTTGATGGACGCGAGCGCGCCATTGCGTTCGAGTAACGCCAGATTAAAGCTGCCGAAACGAACTATCCAGTTCATGACGAAGAGCTACTTGCTATGAAGTATGGTCTGGTCAAAATCAAAGTACATCTGCTTAACTCCAAGCCTTTTGTGATCTATACAGATCATGCGTCATTGCGCACGGCGACACAGTCGCTGCATCTCTCTCAGATAATGGCTCGTTGGATTTCCTTTGTTGCCGAATACAACTTCGAGGTAAAATATAAGCCAGGAAATCACAATGTCTTGGCTGATGCGCTATCGCGTCGACCTGACATAGAGTTTGCTCATGTTACGACACTGTCGTCATCAGTCTTTAAATTAATCCGTGCAGCTTATATCAAGTATGACAAATGTGTAGTTTTGCTACGAGCATTCGGGAGCGATGAGTTTAAAGACTCGGACACAACGTTGTCGGCACATTTACGTGCGAGGCTACATAGATATTCTATCGGTAATGGCCTGTTGTGCTATCGCGCGAATATTGAGGATACCCCTCGTATTGCTGTCCCTCATGATGAGAACTTGAAGTACATCATACATTCTTTGAGGCACATGACACTGCTTTGAGCGGTCACCTCGGTCGTGAGACGCGATATAACTCGTTAATCAAGGCTTATTGGTGGTCCAAGATGTACAAATGGGTAAGCACCTATGTGCACACGTACGAAACGTTCCAACAAGTCAAATCCTCAGCACATGCGGCTGCGCCGCTGGCTAGTATGCCTGTACCCACTGGATGTTGAGAGTCCATGAGGATGGATTTTGCGTTCGGCCTACCGAATTATTTGGAAGGCAACACTGGTATTGTGGTCTTTGGTGACCATTTGAGCAAGATGGCTTATTTAGCGGCTTGCCTGATTCCATCGATGCTAAGGGAACGGCAAATGTTTCTATCGATCGTGTGTTTCGACAACATTCTTTGCCTATGGGAATTGTCTCTGATAAAAATCCTCGTTTCACCGGAAAATTTTGGAAATCTATCTTTAAGCTGCTCGGCACCAGATCAGATATGTCCACGGCGGACCATCCGTAGACCGATGATTAAACTGAGCGTGTTAAGCGCTTCATTAATGTTTTTTTGCGCTGTGTTTGCGCTAATACGCCAAGGTGTTGGAGCTTAATGATTTATGTTGTTGAATTTGCATTGAACAACGCTGTTCACTAAATATAATTCGTCGTCAAGACCGACACCAGTATCTGGTAAAGTGGCGTGGGTACCCTGAGTCTGATAAGTCATGGGAATACGAGGTACCCCTACGGCAAGCTTTCCCCTATGCTTAGATGTTTTTGAACATCGTAGCCAATGTCATCTTGAGACCGAGGCCGATTCCCACCACTAGTGGTGTGGGTTGGCGGGTTGGTGGTCATAATTTGACCAACACTCGCGGCTACCGTAGTAGACCAAGAATATTGTGTGGGATTACGCAATTAGCCTCTGGCCTTAAGCTGGGCATAGTCATACCGGACCTTGCATTTAAGACGCACATCAGCCACATTGGCACTAGCTCTCAGAGCAGACGTACTGCTGAGGAGACGTATGCGAAGCACCCAGCGGACGAAAGAATTGTCCTTTTCGCTTTCTGTTGTGCCTGCAGACAAGGGAATGGGTATACCCTTGATCGGTGAGACCGGTGCACCATGTGCTTGCATATCAAGGCGTGCCTTGTATTGACCTTGGTCGTTAGGTGAGGCTCCAGGAGCCTCTCGCGAAGTGCCTGGCCACTCGCCACCCCCTCAGGTGACTTATGCCCATGGCCAAAGATCCGTGTTGCCAACGTTTGGCCGGTCGTTTGACGTAAGCATTCGTCCACACTAGGTGAAGGGAACACATAGTCACGTTGGTGATTGAGGGTTGCAAACATTTGCGCATGGCGTCGAGTGCTATCTCCTTGTTGAAGAAGTAGCTGTTGTTGCTCATCGAGCGGGTACATAATAATGGTATCATTCAAACCGGGGGTTAAGCGTGGCCCCAATGGCGCACTATCGTTAATACATATAGGGGACAGACAGGGGGAGTACGAAGTTGTACCTCAGACATGTTTATTCTACATCGTCCCTGCATCACCCGGGAAAGTAGTAGCGCTAATATAGTTCAATATCTCCCCCATTTTGAGGTATTCACAGGTCGTCTTTGAATTGTTAGTTTATAAGATAATCGTGCTAAAAGCTTACGTTACCGTGAGGTAAACCGCAAGTGCACTAACCTCGTGAAAGAACAAAGTTCAATGAGAACGCTCGATTGGGACGAGGTCCAAACGGGACGACGTCCGATTAAGACGAGTCTGATTAAGACGAGGTCTGATTGGGACGAGGTATTCATTACGTTTTAGGAAACGTAAGTCTGGTAGAGTAAGGTGTAACAGAGTCACACGTAGTTGAGAAGCTGGTACACTGTGTCTTAGATACACGGATGATATCCCATTGGAAGAGATATTGGATATCTTATCGGTTTGTAGGGGCAGACTGGTGCCAGTCAGTAGATAGGACTAACTTAGGTTAAGTCATTCTATAGGTGTAAATATAGATAAATTTCAAATCCCTTTTTGATCTTAAAGGCACGTGCCTTGCGAGGCGTCTTTGGTCGTTAATCGCTGATTGCTAAGAGTTAGCAACACCTCCCTCAGGTAGTTAGTTACTCTTGAGTACTACGTGCTGTCGATCCATTGTATCGTTTGGTCCTCTGGAACAAGGACAATAAGCTTTACGCTCGTTTACTCATTAAGTCTAGTTCTTTGGGACTAAGTTGCTCGATGAGCGTAAAGCCTTCCTCTGACTTGAGGGGCTGTGCAGCTCCTCTAAAGACGTAATTGTAGGAATGAATGACACCCACCTCATCAAGCTGGTACGAACCATGTTGTTATAGTCCTTTAGTGCTTCAAAGGTTTTTTTTTTAATGGGCCTACGGATATGACCGGCTCAGTCTACAAAATCAAAAGCATAAAAGTACAGCAAAACAATTTGGCATTTCAGAATATTTTCAGCTCAGTTTTAACAGTTATGAATGTAGTATAGGCTCATTAGTGAAACTAAAGGATTATCAGAGGCTTTTCGGACTTATTCTAAAGCGGTGAAATCAAATTAGCAATTTAAGCACAAACACTGCACCGCCCGAGCCAAGCCAAGCTCCTCAGAAACGAAAGATGTGATGTGATAGATGCGGCGCGTGGACACGTGTAAAAAAGTATATATTTGTCGTAGCGCCATATAGCCTATCTGATGATATAAATGCTCCTAGCGGCTTATTTGAAGTCATACAGACAAAAGAGCCAACACCATACCCTTTAGCCGTCTACGATAGGAACACCGGACATCCAGCTTTCTTTCGACCTTTCTAGACCGTTTGACATGTTCGTTTAGGCCTAATACTGCTGCCAGCCATGTTTTCTACCGTAAAGCGGTGATATCGGGTGTATAACAGGTTCGAGACGATTTTCACACTGCTAACAAAATCCTTAAATTTCTTGTAGACTCTATACGATAAATTTAAGACGTCTTACGATTGAGGAAATTTTGAATCTGCAAGTAGCACGATGCCATGCCGAGTATGCACCAGATTGCCATGTTTAATCGTGCAATCGACAATGTTTGGCTTTTTCAACCCCTTGGTCGGTCGTACATCCATAGTTCTTATACACTAATAAACTTTTTGAGCAATGTAAATGAGACAACTTAGTGTATAGTGCATTTGAAAGGTCCATGATCAAAGAGTTAGCGGCAATCCAGGTGTTGCAGTTCAAACACCGTGAGCTTGCAATAACTACGGATCTCATCATGACCAAATTCCATAGCTTTGACATGTCTTTTTGCCTTTTCAAAGACATGATCGCGCTAGGTTAAGTATGACTGCACAAAATGTATCATCGCCACAAGCTCCATACCATTTGAATGCATGGTGAAACCGCACCACGCTCCACAATCGTGTCGAGATGACACGTCGTCTGCATGAGTTCAAGATGGAGAATGGTTCGACCATGTCGAAGCACTTGGATGCTTTTGACGAGCTTGTTGTCGGCCTCCAGACACTTGGAGAGCCAGTCGATGACTCTCGGCAGCTAGTGGTGCTGCTTAGTAGTCTTCCGACGGACTATGAGATCATCTCGTCAATTGTGGAGAATTCCAAGGCCATTACGCTCATCGAGGTCAAGGAAAAGCTGCTCAAGGAGGATGAACGATTGCAGAGGAAGGAGACTACGGAGAAGGCGTTTCCTGTAAGCAGCAACGGTAGACGGTTCAAGGGAGGCCAAGGTAACGGCCGCAAGGGAAACTATCTACGGAAAACCAACACCGGAATTAAAGGCAAGTGCTTTAAGTGTGGTCAAGTCGGACACTATAAGCGGGACTGCCTGAAGCGTAGCAATGGCGAGGAAGAAGGTGCTGTGTTTGCTGCTGGTGAGTTGCAATGTGAAGAATGGCTTATCGACAGCGGGGCTACGTCGCACATGACACCACATCGGAGCGATCTATTTGAGTACAAGGAGTTGAAGACTGGTCAACAAGTCTCTATCGCTGATGGCAAGAAGCTGCAGGTAGCTGGAGTGGGAACAGTCAAGCTGAAAGGTCTAGACGGTCGACGGATCATGATGGTCGATGTCATGCACAACCCAGGACTTGACAAACGATTGCTGTCCGTTGGCAAACTGGCAGGACGAGGCATGAGGGTGGAGTTTCAAAGCTCGTCCTGCATCATTTGGAGTGCCAAGCGCGCGATTGCAAGCGGCAAGAAGATTGGCAAGGCGTACTTCCTGGATTGCGAACAAGAAGAAGCCCGACTTGTAGAATACGCAGGGGCTGAAAGTGAGTGGGAGCTTTGGCACGCTCGCTTGGGACACCCCGGAAGATCTGGTATGGACAAGACACAGCGCGCTACGAGTGGTATGCCGGCGGTAAAGCAGGGCATCGAGAAGCTGTGCAGTGGATGCATGAAGGGCAAGCTGACGATCGATACATTCCCGTCTCAATCGCTAACAAGGACGTCACGTGTGTTGGAACTAGTACACACGGACGTGATGGGACCGATGAAGACGGTCTCAAAGGGTGGTGCACGATTCGTATTGACATTCGTAGACGACTACTCAAGATTTGTGGCAGCGTACTTCATGAATCACAAGAGCGAGGTGGCCGCAAGGCTTAGCGAGTTCAAGGCTTTCTATGAGAATCAATGGGGCAAGCACTTGAAGTGTATACGGTCGGATAACGGGACGGAGTTTGTCAACAAGAAGATTGCCCATATATGCGCCCGTAATGGTATCATGCACCAGCGGACAGTACCATATAGTCCGCAACAGAACGGCGTTGCGGAACGCATGAATCGCACTATCATGGAGAAGGCAAGGAGCATGCTGTACTACAATGGTATCGACATGCAGTGGTGGGCAGAGGCGGTCAGTACGGCTGTGTACTTGATCAACAGATCCACAAACTCTGCAAATTCGGACGTAACACCGTTCGAGGTTGGTTTCAAGATGAAGCCGAGTATTGAGCATTTGCGTGTGTTTGGATCGCAAGGGTATGCTCACATTGACGACGCCAAGAGGACGAAGCTCGAACCAAAGCGTTACCGGTGTATGTTTCTCGGATATGCGGAGAACACCAAGGGATACAGGGTGTTCAATCTGGAAAGGTCGAAGGTTGTCATATCGCGCTCCGTAAAGCTGGACGAGCGGGAAGTTGAAGGCATATACGACACGGTGGTACCAGATAAAGTACCAGTCGTCAAGTATATTAGGGACACTGATGAAGCAGTGATTCCGGTGGTTCGTCCGTATGATGGAGACGAGACGATGGAAGATGTCGAAGAAAGCGCTCCTGATGTCGAGATGGACGAGATAGAATCGGCTCCATTCGAAACAGGTATCATCATACCTCAAGTACTCGATCCAGAAACTCAAGAACCAAGAGGCGATGAGATAACGGGATATCAAGCTCCGAGACAAGCTTTTCAGGAGGACAGGTTGGTATTTCAGCCGGAGATAAATCGGACAAGACGCTCACGAGACAGAATGCTGCTGCTTGAGAATGGGAATAGCAGTGAAGACACGTCAGAAGGTAGCGATGGACCACCTTCTCCAAAGCGTGCAAGAATTGATAACGAAGGTCTCATTGCAGAGGCTGTATTAGCCTATGCTGCAAGCGTTGGCGAGGCGGACGACGCTCCATCAACATACAGCCAAGCGTTAAAAGGCGAAGACAACAGCAAGTGGATTCAAGCGATGCAAGCGGAGCTCAAGGCGCACGCCGATAACGGGTCCTGGACACTGGTACCAAAACGGCAAGACATTCGACCAATCGGGTGCAGATGGATATTCGCTAAGAAGCGAAACGAACACGGACAAGTGGTGCGCTACAAAGCTCGACTCGTCGCAAAGGGGTTCAAGCAGAAATTCGGTGTCGACTTCTTCGAGACGTACTCTCCCGTGGCAAACATGAACTCGATCAGGGGTTGTGCTAGCTGTGGTGGTGACAAAGGGATACGTCACTGAGCAGCTGGACGTAGACACGGCGTTCTTGAACAGTGATCTCAAGGAAGATGTGTACATGGAAGTGCCAAATGGCATAGCTAATGCGGAGAAGATGATGTGCAAGTTGGACAAGGCAATCTACGGTCTCAAGCAGGCTGCAAGTGCGTGGAACAAGACAATCCATGCTGTATTCTTACAGATCGGATTTCGTAGCAGCGGAGCAGATCAGTGTATCTACGTCAAGCATCAAGATGACAACTATGTCTATGTTTGTCTCTACGTCGACGACATGATCATCGCCGCCAAGACCAGCAGCGAGATTCAAGAGGTCAAGACAGCACTCAAGAGCTCATTTCGTATGAAAGAGCTAGGCAAGGCTAAATTTATTCTTGGCGTGGAGATTGATCATGACCACAACTGCAGTAAGCTGATGATTCGACAGACTCGATACATCGATGATGTGGCCAGCCGTTTTAATCAAGAGGACGCAAAGGCAGTGGTCAACCCATGCGAGTCCGGCCTGAAGCTGTCAAAGAAGCAATCCCCAACGACGGATGTCGATAGAGCAGAAATGCAGTCAAAGCCGTACAGGTCGCTGATCGGATGTTTGCTATACATCACGACATGTACGCGCCCAGATGTGATGTATGTCATCACGCAGCTATCAAGGTTTTTGGACAATCCAGGACAGCAACATTGGAAGGCAGCCATTCGTGTTCTTCGGTATCTCAAGACGACAAGAGACTACGGGATAATCTACGACGGCAGCGCTAGCGAAGTAACAGCTACAGCGTATACGGACGCGGACTGGGGTAGCAACATCGCTGATCGACGCTCCGTGTCAGGGATAATGGTGATCATCGGTGGCGCACCAGCCATATACAAGTCCAAGTATCAACGCACGGTGGCTCTAAGCTCTGCTGAGGCAGAGTACATGGCTTTAAGCCTGTGTACACAGGAAGTGTTATGGGTTCGTGCGCTGCTTAAGGATCTAGGTCACGAGCAAGTGGGAGCAACGTGGGTCTGGGAAGACAATCAAGGAGCAATTGGGCTTGCCAGCAATGCCGGCTACAATGCCAGAACCAAGCACGTTGACATTCGTCACCACTTCATCCGGGAGAATGTGGCCCACGATATCATCGTGGTCAAGTATATCTCCACCATGGACCAATTGGCCGACATGCTAACGAAGGCTCTGGGGACCAAGCGACTGAACTATTTGATACAAGCAAGCTGCATTGGACCCAAGGGCATTTAGCAATAGCGGTGAGTGGGAGTGTTACCATAGCACCGTCTACTGCTTTTATGTTCATGGATAGGTTTTAGGAATCGAGAAGGACTGGCTGAGAAGAAGCACAGCATGACGTCATCGGGTGACGTCACAAGGAGAGCTTCTTAAACCTTCTGGAAGATCTTGAGAAGATCGAAGTGTGTTGATTGGTCTAGATAAACCAGTGAACCTTCTAGAAGATCTTGAGAAGATCGAAGGGTGTTCATTGGTCTAGCTAAATCAGTGGGACTGATATAGTTTGTCTAAGTATAGGAAATGAGTGGCTTAGAGGTAGCAAAGCAAATTTGCGAACTAAGGACCATAAATATATTCACTTCACAATTTGCCTTCGCCTGCGCACATCAACATCAACAACGCAGTTGCCATGAAATGTAGCTGTCATGCGCTACAGATGTCGTGTGTGATAGCTGTCATGTGGCACAGATGTCTTGTGTGATAGCTGCCATACACCGTAGTTGTTGGCATGTGTCATGTACGATCGATACAAAGTGGTTGGTGCATGGGAGAGGTCAATGAGAAATGAACAGTCGTCTAATGCGGGACGTCATAACGTCAACTCAAAGTGGTATTCAAGACGTTATTCCGTCAGTGTCGGTCAGTGCGGTTCGTATGAACTCCGCTTCGTCTGTCCAGCCCGACTTCAGTGTGGTCTGTCTAAACGTATTTTCGACGATCCGACGCGACCTTCAGTTTCGTTTGTCGAGACTTTTTGCTCCGAGTTTTTGGTGCGACTTATTAGCAGTAGAAGAAACCACCCAAAGGACGGCCAAACAAACATCTCGGACCATAGACGGGGCGACCGAACGTGTTCCAGTAGCCGAGTGGGTACCTCCATCCGTATCGAAACCCACCACCAAACGGGAATCGGAATCGGTGTCGAAAGAAGCGAGCGCGATGTCCGATAAACTCTTCCCTGCTCGATTCTGGACTCGTATCAGCGATTGGTTCCTGGTCACCGACATGATCGACTCCAGGTGGGAGCTGTTCCAGATCGTTCGCGGACTCAGTGCTGGCGAAGACGCAGGTGGCAGCTCCAAGCACGAGAAACAGCACAGCAAGGATGGAACGCTTGATCATCGTCACGTAGACTGAGGCAAATTGTCTTATGGGTAAGGGGCAACTCGTGCGGCACCGTGCGGATCGGTGTATGAGTGCATTGCGTGGTGCCTCCGCGCATCCAGCGTATTTCAATGAAAGTCCTTGGAGCCGTTGTGGAAATTGCTCGGAGTTGTCATCGAGCATAGTAAGGTGATTGTTCAAACGGTGGTATTGTTCGAATACCTCAACAAATTGATACACGGGAATACCTCGCGGTCGTCACCCGAACCGCGTGTATGATGGCTCTGACCTGTCAATCGTGTCGAACAAGTACTTTCAGTGAAGGATATGTTCCTAACACGCAACGCGGTCTGGAGTTGTCGATACGTATTTGATCAAGTAAACCGATCATAGGTCAGGCTACTACTGCGTATGGTGCGATCCAACTTGCTGACATGAATGCCATAATCCTCCAGCATTCACGTAGTTGATCTTGTATTGTGAGAGTATGGTGTATTTTGTTGCAATCTGTTTCGACTTTTTTCTTGGTGTTTCATGGTTAGTACTGGACCCATCGATCGATCGATGTTTTCCTCGAACAAAAAAAAGGTTGGTCCGTTCAGCCCGTGTTCCAACTGCGATGTGAATGATAGAATGGATACAACGACTATAGGACGCCGACAACAAGGGTCCATTCGCAAAACTAGACGAGACGAGAATGGTGAAGCATAAGCTGACTTCGGCACAGGGAGAATGAACGATCATCGTGATCTCGCCAGGTCTCTTTCTTGTTGTGACGGTTAGCGGCTGTAAGTGCTGGAGAATTTGCATGCCATTCCACCATCCTTCTCCTATCGCATTTGAGCCAGACAGGAAGATGCAGCGATCCACTGAACATGAAGTTGTCATGTACTGTAGCTGTCACGTGCGATGATAGTACACGAAGTTGCCATGAAATGTAGCTGTCATGCGCTACAGATGTCGTGTGTGATAGCTGTCATGTGGCACAGATGTCTTGTGTGATAGCTGCCATACACCGTAGTTGTTGGCATGTGTCATGTACGATCGATACAAAGTGGTTGGTGCATGGGAGAGGTCAATGAGAAATGAACAGTCGTCTAATGCGGGACGTCATAACGTCAACTCAAAGTGGTATTCAAGACGTTATTCCGTCAGTGTCGGTCAGTGCGGTTCGTATGAACTCCGCTTCGTCTGTCCAGCCCGACTTCAGTGTGGTCTGTCTAAACGTATTTTCGACGATCCGACGCGACCTTCAGTTTCGTTTGTCGAGACTTTTTGCTCCGAGTTTTTGGTGCGACTTATTAGCAGTAGAAGAAACCACCTAAAGGACGGCCAAACAAACATCTCGGACCGTAGATGGGGCGACCGAACGTGTTCCAGTAGCCGAGTGGGTACCTCCATCCGTATCGAAACCCACCACCAAACGGGAATCGGAATCGGTGTCGAAAGAAGCGAGCGCGATGTCCGATAAACGCTTCCGTGCTCGATTCTGGACTCGTATCAGCGATTGGTTCCTGGTCATCGACATGATCGACTCCAGGTGGGAGCTGTTCCAGATCGTTCGCGGACTCAGTGCTGGCGAAGACGCAGGTGGCAGCTCCAAGCACGAGAAACAGCACAGCAAGGATGGAACGCTTGATCATCGTCACGTAGACTGAGGCAAATTGTCTTATGGGTAAGGGGCAACTCGTGCGGCACCGTGCGGATCGATGTATGAGTGCATTGCGTGGTGCCTCCGCGCATCCAGCGTATTTCAATAAAACGCCTTGGAGCCGTTGTGGAAATTGCTCGGAGTTGTCGTCGAGCATAGCAAGGTGGTTGTTCAAACGGTGGTATTGTTCGAATACCTCAACGAATAGATTCACGGGAATACCTTGCGGTCGTCACCTGAACCGCGTGTATGATGGCTCTGACCTGTCAATCGTGTCGAACAAGTACTTTCAGTGAAGGATATGTTCCTAACACGCAACGCGGTCTGGAGTTGTCGATACGTATTTGATCAAGTAAACCGATCATAGGCCAGGCTACTACTGCGTATGGTGCGATCCAACTTGCTGACATGAATGCCATAATCCTCCAGCATTCACGTAGTTGAGCTTGTATTGTGAGAGTATGGTGTATTTTGTTGCAATCTGTTTCGACTTTTTTCTTGGTGTTTCATGGTTAGTACTGGACCCATCGATTGTTTGTTCAGTGGATCGCTGCATCTTCCTGTCTGGCTCAAATGCGATAGGAGAAGGATGGTGGAATGCGCGTGCAAACTCGCCAGCACTTACAGCCACTAACCGTCACAACAAGAAAGAGACCTAGCGAGATTACGATGATCGTTCATTGTCCCTGTGCCGAAGTCAGCTTTTGCCCCACCATTCCCGTCTCGTCTAGTTTTGCGAATGGACCCTTGTTGTCGGCGTCCTATAGTCGTTGTATCCATTCTATCATTCACATCGCAGTTGAAGTCGGATGACAGGATATAGCAGGTCGTACGCGTACCTAAATATACCTCACCTTCTCACTCACTCACTCACATCGCAGTTGGAACACGGGCTGAACGGATCAACCTTTTTTTTGTTCAAGGAAAACATCGATCGATCGATCGATTCTCAAAGTACCAAGTCGACAATCAGAGAAACAAGCGCAGCGATGCGGTCATAAGCGGTAGCTGTCATGAAGTATGATAGTATGTACATGAAGTTGTCATGTACTGTAGCTGTCACGTGCGATGATAGTACACGAAGTTGCCATGAAATGTAGCTGTCATGCGCTACAGATGTCGTGTTTGATAGCTGTCATGTGGTACAGATGTCTTGTGTGATAGCTGCCATACACCGTAGTTGTTGGCATGTGTCATGTACGATCGATACAAAGTGGTTGGTGCATGGGAGAGGTCAATGAGAAATGAACAGTCGTCTAATGCGGGACGTCATAACGTCAACTCAAAGCGGTATTCAAGACGTTATTCCGTCAGTGTCGGTCAGTGCGGTTCGTATGAACTCCGCTTCGTCTGTCCAGCCCGACTTCAGTGTGGTCTGTCTAAACGTATTTTCGACGATCCGACGCGACCTTCAGTTTCGTTTGTCGAGACTTTTTGCTCCGAGTTTTCGGCTCGACTTATTAGCAGTAGAAGAAACCACCCAAAGGACGGCCAAACAAACATCTCGGACCATAGATGGGGCGACCGAACGTGTTCCAGTAGCCGAGTGGGTACCTCCATCCGTATCGAAACCCACCACCAAACGGGAATCGGAATCGGTGTCGAAAGAAGCGAGCGCGATGTCCGATAAACTCTTCCCTGCTCGATTCTGGACTCGTATCAGCGATTGGTTCCTGGTCACCGACATGATCGACTCCAGGTGGGAGCTGTCCCAGATCGTTCGCGGACTCAGTGCTGGCGAAGACGCAGGTGGCAGCTCCAAGCACGAGAAACAGCACAGCAAGGATGGAACGCTTGATCATCGTCACGTAGACTGTGGCAAATTGTCTTATGGGTAAGGGGCAACTCGTGCGGATCGATGTATGAGTGCATTGCGTGGTGCCTCCGCGCATCCAGCGTATTTCAATGAAAGTCCTTGGAGCCGTTGTGGAAATTGCTCGGAGTTGTCATCGAGCATAGTAAGGTGATTGTTCAAACGGTGGTATTGTCCGAATACCTCAACAAATTGATACACGGGAATACCTTGCGGTCGTCACCTGAACCGCGTGTATGATGGCTCTGACCTGTCAATCGTGTCGGACAAGTACTTTCAGTGAAGGATATGTTCCTAACACGCAACGCGGTCTGGAGTTGTCGATACGTATTTGATCAAGTAAACCGATCATAGGCCAGGCTACTACTGCGTATGGTGCGATCCAACTTGCTGACATGAATGCCATAATCCTCCAGCATTCACGTAGTTGAGCTTGTATTGTGAGAGTATGGTGTATTTTGTTGCAATCTGTTTCGACTTTTTTCTTGGTGTTTCATGGTTAGTACTGGACCCATCGATTGTTTGTTCAGTGGATCGCTGCATCTTCCTGTCTGGCTCAAATGCGATAGGAGAAGGATGGTGGAATGGCATGCAAATTCTCCAGCACTTACAGCCGCTAACCGTCACAACAAGAAAGAGACCTAGCGAGATTACGATGATCGTTCATTGTCCCTGTGCCGAAGTCAGCTTTTGCCCCACCATTCCCGTCTCGTCTAGTTTTGCGAATGGACCCTTGTTGTCGGCGTCCTATAGTCGTTGTATCCATTCTATCATTCACATCGCAGTTGGAACACGGGCTGAACGGATCAACCTTTTTTTTGTTCAAGGAAAACATCGATCGATCGATCGATTCTCAAAGTACCAAGTCGACAATCAGAGAAACAAGCGCAGCGATGCGGTCATAAGCGGTAGCTGTCATGAAGTATGATAGTATGTACATGAAATCGTCATGTACTGTAGCTGTCACGTGCGATGATAGTACACGAAGTTGCCATGAAATGTAGCTGTCATGCGCTACAGATGTCGTGTGTGATAGCTGTCATGTGGCACAGATGCCTCGTGTGATAGCTGCCATACACCGTAGTTGTTGGCATGTGTCATGTACGATCGATACAAAGTGGTTGGTGCATGGGAGAGGTCAATGAGAAATGAACAGTCGTCTAATGCGGGACGTCATAAAGTCAACTCAAAGCGGTATTCAAGACGTTATTCCGTCAGTGTCGGTCAGTGCGGTTCGTATGAACTCCGCTTCGTCTGTCCAGCCCGACTTCAGTGTGGTCTGTCTAAACGTATTTTCGACGATCCGACGCGACCTTCAGTTTCGTTTGTCGAGACTTTTTGCTCCGAGTTTTTGGTGCGACTTATTAGCAGTAGAAGAAACCACCCAAAGGACGGCCAAACAAACATCTCGGACCATAGATGGGGCGACCGAACGTGTTCCAGTAGCCGAGTGGGTACCTCCATCCGTATCGAAACCCACCGCCAAACGGGAATCGGAATCGGTGTCGAAAGAAGCGAGCGCGATGTCCGATAAACGCTTCCGTGCTCGATTCTGGACTCGTATCAGCGATTGGTTCCTGGTCACCGACAAGATCGACTCCAGGTGGGAGCTGTTCCAGATCGTTCGCGGACTCAGTGCTGGCGAAGACGCAGGTGGCAGCTCCAAGCACGAGAAACAGCACAGCAAGGATGGAACGCTTGATCATCGTCACGTAGACTGAGGCAAATTGTCTTATGGGTAAGGGGCAACTCGTGCGGCACCGTGCAGATCGGTGTATGAGTGCATTGCGTGGTGCCTCCGCGCATCCAGCGTATTTCAATGAAAGTCCTTGGAGCCGTTGTGGAAATTGCTCGGAGTTGTCATCGAGCATAGTAAGGTGATTGTTCAAACGGTGGTATTGTCCGAATACCTCAACGAATTGATACACGGGATACCTTGCGGTCGTCACCTGAACCGCGTGTATGATGGCTCTGACCTGTCAATCGTGTCCAACAAATATTGGCAGTGAAGGTTGTCGATACGTATGATCAAGTAAACCGATCATAGGTCAGGCTACTACTGCGTATGGTGTGATTGAACTTGCTGATATGAATGCCGTACGTCCTCCAGCATTCACGTAGCTGAGCATCATTCTCTAATTTGCTGTCTGACGCACAGTTAACTCGAGAACGTGTTTCCGAGGCGACAAAAAAAAGATCGCCTATTCCACCAACAAGTCGACGTATCCTTTATAAAGGACGGCCGCGACCGCGGAGCGCGTAGTCGCCGCCCGCCCAGGCCCTTAACTGGTGCATTTAGTGGCGAGCAAGTCGGACGTGGAGCGGAAGGTCCACCAAATGGGGCTGCTGCTGAGGCGGCGACCGTGGTTCCTCCTAGTGAACCACATCCCGACGACGAGCGGATGGACTCTGTTCACGCCTCGGACTGCACCATTCTTGATTCGGTGAGGGATGTAGGGATGGATCCTGGTGTAGGCGATGTGTCCATGTCATCTCTACAGAGCGAGCCTCCCTTGCAGCAGGAAGGGGACGGTGGCACCGGTATCGCGCCGGACAACGAGGATGATGATACCCCAACTGCCCCAAGATCGCCGCCACGTATTTTTCAAGATGCGCGGCCAATGATGCCAAGCCCGTCCGCTTGAACGGGTAACACAGTCGATGAGTTGAGAAAAGCTGCGGGCTCTCAACCCTCGCCGTATGTTAAAGATGCTAACCTTCGTCTTTACGAGTGCGCGCGAAAGCGGTGCCGTCTTAGAAAGGACGGGTTCCAGCGCAGGATGACGCCAATTGAGGTGGAAACTCTTGAGGCTTGGCTTGGAGGCCATCTACAGCTTGCTGGAGCGCCTCTATTCCTCAGGGAGACTCATGTGGCGGCCGAGCGAGAGGCTTTTGCTGTCCACCAGCGCTCTCGCCTTCTGCACAAGCTTTATGCTCGCCTTCCGGTCGGCCTTTTCCTTCCTGATCTAGGCGCGCGGGGTAAATTATTTAGCCTGATGCTTGCAGCTGCTGTGACTCCAGCGGCAAAGACTCGTGTCAATTCGCTCATCATGGAGCTTTCGCGCGTTGAGTGTTCGAGCCTGTCACCTATTGTGGCTTTCGTCTTCAACGATCGCCCTACGCGAGATTCATAAGCGAAGGCGGACCTTCGGGTGGGTAATTGTCGGCTCCAACTTCTCGTAGCTGATGACCCAGCTACGGTGGACGACAAGATTGGCTATACGGACATTACGACTTCAATGCTTTATCAGGTGCATGTGCTCGGCAAGAGCTCGGCATTTCCGAGCGAGATCCGATCATGGGTCGCAGCCGCGACGTCGACACCCGTGCTCACTGTCGAATAGCGGGAGGCCGATGGTGCCCATTTCTTCGACGCGCATCGCTGGGTCGTCACTTTTGATTCCATGGAATGCCCTAAAGAACTGGACCGGAAGCACAGGATTTTAGTGACGACCGGCGATAAGAGTATCGAGGCGGTACTCATGCACCCGCGGAAGAGTACCCGCGAGCCGTGCCAGCGGTGTCTCAGCGTTCGACATTTCCGTAAAGACTGTGCGGTTGTGGATCCCGAGAGTACATGTGCAAGCTATACTCTATCTGCAACGGCCTCGGTAACATCCCATACGTCATTGACATCTCACGCGGATGGATGGATCAAGGCAACTGAAATTCTACGTCAAAAGGTGGCGCCTGGGCTTGGCGACAAACTTCGCCGAGCTTCCATGGTGGAGGGGGCACCTAAGCGGCACAAAACAGTCATGCACAAGAGATAAGTGGCAGCGCGAGTGGAGGCTAAGGCTGCAGTGACAGCTGAACTACTTGCTATTCGTCGTTCAAAGCTAAGGGCGGCTACGAATCATTTCGCGACGGTTAAGAAGGCTGCTGCTATGGCTGCGGCTGCTCGTGCGGCAGTGGTTCAACAGTTTGAAGGCTCGTGTCCCGTCGCTCGGTCTGCGAGTCGTGGGGTGGCAGCTGACTCGCTGCCGACGTCGGTGCCTCAACCGGTATCGGGTCAGCACGGAAGCTTCAAAGTTGTGAAGCGGCCCCTGCTGCAGTACCAGCTGCTCCTGGAGCATCTTCTGAAGGAGCGACGTCCACGGTTGTCAATGAAAATGATAGCGATGCACGCGACATGGCCACTGCTGATTTACCCGCTCTTTTTGTGGTTGGCGAGCACGCTGTGGCGACGGTATTCGAGGTACCACCTTCGACAGCGGTTGAAGGGCAAGATCGGATGGAGGTGGACCATTCTTCTGGTGGTCCATCACCGTCGTCGCTTGCCGCCACTATGGATATCGATGAGCTTGAGGCATCGGTGCCTCCCTCTACCGCCTCTCCGAATGCCTGCAGGACACGTTGTTGCACAGATGGCCCCGACACGACTGCGATCGATTCTCACATGGCCTCCCCTCTCCCTCCTGGTTTGGAAGCCGTGCTTGCAGCGCAGGCCACTGATTCAATTTTACCCATAGACAGTCAGGATCGTGTCATGGCTGGTCCGCTGCCGGCCATTCCACGTACTCAATCACCTTCACCGGATGCCGTGGAAGCGTGGAACGCGGTCGCTGCGGTTCAACGCGAGGCGGATGATTATGCCGCTACGCTTGCGTCCTCTCGTAGGCACAAAGCACGGGTGATGCCCGCACCGAGGTTGGGCTGCCCACAACCAGTTGCATCCGGTATGGTCGTTGAAGTTGCTAAGTTACTGCAGCCGACATCACCCTGCGTGCGGCTGACGAGTGAGGAGGTTTCAGAGCGCAATCGCCAAAAAAGACAGAACGGCATCGCTGTTGCGACGTGGAGGCGACGGACATCGTCGACACCAGTACTACCAGCGAATGGTGAAGAATTTTCGATCTGGATTGACCAATATTTCTCTCAGTTGG